TGACCAGAATTGAACCCGGGAGCCTTCAGTCCACAGGCCGACGCCCTAGCCACTGAGCCAAGCCGGCTAGGGCGTCTACACGGCTCCAGGTGTGTCTCCCCTCGTCTCTCCACCCAAGGCTGGGGCTGCTGGGGATGGGAGCTGACGGGGAGGCAGCTGATGGGACTGACCTGGACGACAGGGCACACAGGGTCCCCACAGCCACCACGTATCTGGCCCAGGGCCAGCCCGCGTGGAGGAAGGCCTCTGGCAGGGGGCTGTCGGAGTTGATCTGGTAGTAGGGCACCATGAGGGTGAGCGCCGCCGAGACCCCAAAGTACGCCAAGAAGCAGATGAAGAGCGAGATCACGGTGCCCAGGGGGATGGCCTGCTGAGGGTTGCGGGCTTCTTCCCCTGCGCGGTAGGAGGGGTGTCGGGTCAGGGACACACACCGAGGGGAAGGCACAAAACCCTCTTCCTTCCGAAACTCCCCGGGAGCCAGGCCAACCTTCCACCAACCCTGTGCCCAAGGGCGGCCCACACCCCCATGGGGCAGCCTGACCGTTACCTGCAGTGGCGATGCAGTCAAAACCAACAAACGCATAGAAGCACGTGGCTGCTCCGCGGAGAACCCCCTCAAAGCCAAAAGGCACAAACCCCCCGGAGCCCAGAGGGCCCAGGCTGTGGTGAGAGAGGGGACGAGGAAGAAGAGGGGTGAGCAGGTCAGCCATCTCTACGGGACCACAATCCTGGTCCATCCCCCCACCACCTGGCCCCACCGCCCAGATCTGCTTCCCACCACATTCCCAGCTCTGCACTCCACACACGTCTGTGGCCAAGAGTGCCCTCACACCAGGCCGGTGTAGCTCAGTGGTTGAGCATCAACCTATGAACCAGGAGTTGAAGGTTCAGTTCCAAGTCAGGGCACATGCCCGGGTTGTGGGCTCGATCCCCAGTGTGGGGCGTGCAGGAGGCAGCCAATTATTGATTCTCTCTCATCATTGATGTTTCTCTCTCCCTCTCCCTTCCTTTCTACAATCATCAATAAAAAAAATATATTTAAGAACAAAAATTGCCCTCCTGACCTCAAGGTGCCATTGGACTCAGATTTGGTCAGCTCGTAGTCCTGCTCCGTGAGCTGCCAGCGGTGCAGACGTCCATTAATGAAGCCAGAGAGGACGATGAAGCCAAGAACCAAGAGGTTCACGCCCGTGAATATCTTGGTAACCAGGGCCGACTCACGAACTCCCAGGACCAGGACACCTGTGGGAGGATGGAACAGAAAACTAGACAGAAAGCCAAAGAGTGGTGACCGGGGGTGGGGCGGGGCCTGCTGAATGGGTGCAGGCTTTCCTCTGGAGACAATGAAAATGTGCTGGAACTAGAAGAAGGTGGTTGCACAATATTTGGAATGTACGTAGGGGTCGTACACGTTAAAATGGTGGGTTTCGCCCCAGCCGGTTGGGCTCAGTGGATAGAGTGTGGACTGAGGGGTCCCAGATCCCATTGCAGTCAAGGGCTCGTACCTCGGTTGCAGGCTGGTCCCCTGGCCCCAGTCAGGGCAGGAGCGTGAGGCAACCCATCTTTGTGTCTCTCTCACATCACTGGTGTTTCTTTTACTCAGTCTCTCGCCCTCCCACTCTCTCTAAAAATCAATGGGAAAATATCCTTGGATGAGGATTAACAAAAAATAAAAATGAAAACAATTGATGGTTGATTTCTTTTTTTTTAAAAATATATTTTATTGATTTTTTACAGAGAGGAAGGGAGAGAGATAGAGAGTCAGAAACATCGATGAGAGAGAAACATCGATCAGCTGCCTCCTGCACACCTCCCACTGGGGATGTGCCCGCAACCAAGGTACATGTCTTTGACTGGAATCGAACCCGGGACCCTTCAGTCCACAGGCTGATGCTCTATCCACTGAGCCAAACCGGTTACGGCAATGGATGATTTCTTGTAAGAACTTTATTGGTTTTAGAAAGAGGGAGAGAGAGAGAGAGAGAGAGAGAGAGAGAGAGAGAGAGAGAGAGAAGAGAAAACACACTGATAGGCTGCCTCCTGTATGTGCCCCAACCTGAACTGAATGTTGGGATCAAACCAGCCACCTAGGTATGTGCCCTGAACTGGAATCCACCCGCCACCTTGCGGTGCACGGAATGACACCCAAGGGAGTCACACACCAGAGCTGAAATGGCAGATTTTCTTTTTTTTCCAATTCTCACCCGAGGATATTTTCCCATTGATTTTAGGGAGATTGGAAGAGAGAGGGAAAGACAGAAACATCCATGTGATAGAAACACAGCGATTGGTTGCCTCCGACCAGGGCCTGGACCCAAGGGACCTGTAACCAAGGTGCGTGCCCTTGACCGGAATCGAACCCAGAGGCCGATTTGGTCCATAGGCCAATGCACTATCCACTGAGCAAAACTGGCTAGGGCATAGGGCTAATTTTTTTTTCATGGTAACCAACTCAGAGTATAAACAGGTATGAAATCACCACCTTAAACTCACACAATGTTATAAGTCAATTCTATCTCAATAAAGCTGTGGGGAAATCTCTCTATATAAAAGCCTAATATGCAAATTGTCTTCACGGGTGTTCGACTGGCAGACCGACTGCTCGCTATGACATGAGCTGACCATCAGGGGGCAGCGTGGAAAGAAGAAAGGCCCTGGCCAGCAGCAAGGGAAGGAAGGCCCTGGCCGGCAGGTGGAAGGCCCCAATCGACCCTGATTGCTGGCCAGGTTTAGGGGACCTACCCGTGCACTATGCCTCTAGTAATAAAATAAAATGGTTCATTTTCCATTATGGGAATGTCACCTCCATTTCTGTTTTAATGGTACAAAATAATTTTTTTTAAAGCTTTGGTCTTAGTACAGAGGAAGCTACTGGTTCTCAGCTGGAGGTGACTTTGTCCCACAGGGACATTTGGCGATGTCCTAGACATTCCAATTGCTCCATTTCGGGGGGGGGGGGGGGGGGCGCCCCTGGCATCCAGTGAGTAGATCATTGGTGGATCACTCAATATCTTAGGATGATCTTTTTTTTTCATATTTATTGTTGAAAGTATTACCTATGCCCCCTTTTCCCCCATTAATCCCTTATAGCCAGCCCCCCCGACCCCAGACTTTAATCACCCTATTGTCTGTGTCCATCGGTTACACATATATGCATACAAAGTCTTGGGTTGATCTCTTCCCATGCACACTCACTTTCCCTCTGAGATTCTAGTCTGTTAATTTTTTTTTTTTAAATGAAATCCTACAGCCCTGGCCAGTTTGGCTCAGTGAATAGAGCATCTGCCTGTGGACTGAGGGATCCCGGGTTCAATTCGGGTCAGGGGCACATGCCTGGGTTGTGGGCTTGATTCCCATTAGGAGGTGTGTGGGAGGCAGCCGATCAGTGATTCCCTCTCATCATTGATGTTTCTCTCCCTTCCTCTCTGAAATCAATAAAAATACATTTAAAAAATAAAAAGTCCAGCTCAAAATGAGTTCGGAGGGTGGGAACAATGTCTACATCTTGCCTTCCCGTTTCTCCCACGGAAAATCCCCTTCTCTGGCCTCACATCTCCCCACCCCTTTGCCGCAGCCAAGCCTTCCCCACCCCCGCCGCTCCCCCTCCATGCCCCGCTCATCCCACCCCGTCTCTGGCCCCGCCTCACCTGTGAGCAGCAGCACCAGGCCCAGCGAGAAGAAGTCCAGGTAGCTGGCCAGGAAGGGCACACGCAGAGGCACGCTCTCCTGCAGCGCCCGGGACATGTGGTGCCCGGTCAGGCTGTCGATGGCGGAGCTCCAGGCCCTGGCCACACTGGCGCTGCCTGCAGCCAGAAGGAGGCGCATTCATTCACAGAACGGTTGGCACCCCTGCTGGGCACCAGGGCTCAGGTTTTGGGGGGAAACATACAAAAGACTCATCTCAAAGAGGTTTCTTGCCGAAACCGGTTTGGCTCAGTGGATAGAGCGTCAGCCTGCGGACTGAAAGGTCCCAGGTTCGATTCTAGTCAAGGGCATGTACCTGGGTTGCGGGCACATCCCCAGTAGGAGATGTGCAGGAGGCAGCTGATCGATGTTTCTCTCTCATCGATGTTTCTAACTATCTCTCTCCCTTCCTCTCTGTAAAAAATCAATAAAAATATATTTAAAAAAAAAAAAAAAGAGGTTCCTTTCTGCTTCCCCCGCCCCTTTTAAAAAAATATTTTTTTAGCCCTAACCGGTTTCCCTCAATGGATAGAGCGTCAGCCTGTGGACTGAAGGGTCCCAGGTTCGATTCCGGTCAAGGGCATGTACCTTGGTTGCGGGCACATCCCCAGTAGGGGGCGTGCAGGAGCAGCTGATCGATGTTTCTCTCTCATCGATGTTTCTAACTCTCTATCCCTCTCCCTTCCTCTCTGTAAAAAATCAATAAAATATATTTTTTTTAAAAAACATTTTTTAATTTGTTATTTTAGAGCGAGGAAGAGAGAAGGAGAGAAAGAGAGAGAAACCTCAAACCAGCAACCTTGGAGGATGGGAACAACTCTCTAATCAACTGAGCGACCAGGCCAAGGACGCCTCCTTCTCATGGGGTGGGGAGAGGAGACCCATGTTTCACAGAACAGGTGAACTATTTAATTTGTTAGAAGGAATCCGCGTTATGCAAAAAAGGAAAATACAGGAGAAGGCCCTGGAGGGCTGGGAGGTGAGGGGTGACATTTTAAATTGGGCCCGGCCAGTGTGGCTCAGTGGTTGAAAGTCGACCTAAGAACCAGGATGTCTTAGTTCAATCCCCGATTAGGGCACAGGCCCGGGTTGCGGGCTTGATCCCTGGTGTGGGGCTTGCAGGAGGCAGCCGATCCATGATTCTCTCTCATCATTGATGTTTCTGTCTCTCCCTCTCCCTTTCTCTCTGAAATCAATAAAAATATGTTTTATTTAAAAAAAATGTTAAATCGGGTGGTCAGGGGGGGGTCTCCTGAAGCCAGCAGCGGCCGAGCAGAGACCTCACCATGGTGAGGCAGGAGCCTTGGGACACTTCCCTCACCCACGGGGCCCCTTCCCCGGTTCCTACCCTTCCCATTGCTTCCTGGTTGTTGTGGTTCTAGAACAGGGGTGGGCAAACTTTTTGACTCGAGGGCCACAATGGGTTCTTAAACTGGACCGGAGGGCCGGAACAAAAGCATGGATGGAGTGTTTGTGTGAACTAATATAAATTCAAAGTAAACATCATTACATAAAAGGGTACGGGTTGTTTTTTTTTTTTTTTTAGTTTTATTCATTTCAAACGGGCCGGATCCGGCCCACGGGCCGTAGTTTGCCCACGGCTGAGCTAGAATATATTTTGTTGATTTTACAGAGGAAGGGAGAGGGGTAGAGAGTGAGAAACATTGATGAGAGAGAAGCATCCATCAGCTGCCTCCTGCCCGCCCCCTACTGGGGATGGAGCCTGCAACCGAGCGAGGTACATGCCCTCGGCCAGAACCCAACCCGGGACCCTTCAGTCCGCAGGCCGACGGCTAGGCCTAGGGCAACAGTGTGGGGCTTTTCCTCACAGTTACCCACTTCCCCTCGAAGCTGGACCCCCAGGTGTTCATGAAGGAGGATGAAGACCCCCACCCCCTCCTGTTGTCCTGATGGAAGTTTGTTGTCCCCCCCAGGGGCCCTGCCATCTCACCGATGACATAGGAGAGTATGAGGTTCCACCCGGTGACGAAGGCGCACAGCTGTCCCACGGTGACGTAGCTGTAGAGATAGGCAGACCCGGAGCAGGGCACCCGCGCCCCGAACTCCGCGTAGCACAGCCCAGACAGCACGGACGTCACGGCGGCCACCAAGAAGCAGAGGACGATGGCCGGCCCGGCCTTGTCCCTGGCCACCTCCCCGGCCAGGACGTACACTCCAGCCCCCAGGGTGCTGCCCACCCCGAGGGCCACCAGGTCCAGGGTGCTCAGGCACCGGGCCAGGCCGCCGCCAGACCCCTCCCTCCGCTCCAGGGGCCGCCTGCGCACCAGCTTCTCGCAAAACCGGCCCAGGTGTCCACACAGCATCTTGGGTGGAGCTGAGCCAGAGGCACAGATCTGCAGGGAGAGAAAGACAGGAAGCCATCGGGAATGTCCACCCAGCCTGGCCGGCCGTGTGGCTCAGTGGTCAGAGCCTCGGCCTGCGGACCGATGGGTCTCGGGTTCAATTCCCGGTCAAGGGCACCTACCTTGCTTACAGGGTCAAACCCTGGCCCAGAAGGCGACCAATCCATGTATCTCTCTGACACGGATGTTTCTCTCTCTCTCCTTCCCTCCCTTCTCTCCCTTCCACTTTTTCCTTACAAATCAATGGAAGAAAATATCCTTCAGTGAGAATTTTAAAAAAATTAAAAATAAAAATGTAAAATAAAATAAAATAAAATGAGAATGACCCCCTAGCCTGGCTGGTGTGGCTCCACTGGCTAGAGCGCCTCTGCTGCCCCATGCTGCACAGACCTCCCTCTGTCCTCCCTTCCTTTACAAAACAGGGAAATCTTCCTATTATCATGGTGTCCTCCCTGTGCTCGCCTCGGCGATAAGAGAGCTCACAGGCGAAGGTTTGTCTGCTGAGGACCCTGAAACTTTCTGGGGGGTTTTGGGTTGCATTTTTTTTTTCTGTGGTTTTTTTTTTCATATCTGATCTTTATTATTTTTATTTATTTATTTTAAATAAACATCGATCAGCTGCCTCCTTGCACACCCCCTACTGGAGATGTGCCTGCAACCAAGGTACATGCCCTCGACCGGAATCGAACCCGGGACTCTTCAGTCCCCAGGCTGACATTCTATCCAGTGAGCCAAACCGGCCAGGGCAATATGTTTATTTTAGAGAGAGAGGATGTGACAGGGAGAGAGAGGAGTGAGACATCCACTGGTTGCCTCTAGTAAGTGGCCCCACCAGGGTTCACATCAATGTTTTTCTGTCTCTCCCCCTCCCTTCCGCTCTCTCTAAAAATCAATGGGAAAAAGTATCCTTGGGTGAGGATTAACAAAATAAATAGATCAATAAAAATAAAGATCACCCCTAACCGGTTTGGCTCAGTGGATAGAGTGTCAGCCTGCAGACTCAAGGGTCCCCAGGTTCGATTCCGGTCAAGGGCATGTACCTAGGTTGTGGGCACATCCCCAATAGGGAGTGTGCAGGAGGCAGCTGATCGATGTTTCTCTCTCATCGATGTTTCTAACTCTCTATCCCTCTCCCTTCCTCTCTGTAAAAAAATCAATAAAATAAAAAAAATAATAATAATAAATAGCACTAGCTGGTTGCTCTGTGGTTAGAGCATCCCATCGGCACATGGACTGAAGGGTCCCGTGTTTGGTTCGGGCCCAGAGCACATACCTCGGTTGCAGGCCCATCCCAAGCCCCGGTCCAGGCACGTGCACATGCGGGAGGCAACCAATGTATCTAAGATCGACATTTTTTTTCTCACTCTACCTCTCTCTTCCCCTCTCTCTAAAAAAATCTGTCGGGGGGGAAAGATATCCTGAGGTGGGGACTCCTAACAGAAATAAAAATTAAAAACCAAAAAACACCAGCCTCAGAGCCCAAGGACACGCATCCAACCTCCCCCACCTCCACCCTCACCCCTTCTCTCTCTCTCTCTCTCTCACACACACACACACACACACACACACACACACACACACACACACACACGCACAGCTCCCGCTCCGGCTTTCATCAGGAAAATGGGTCTTTTCCAGCCTGGAAATGGAGCCGGCCTGAGCACCCAGGTGCAGGCCGGATCGCCCAGGCCTCCGGGGATGTCTGAACCCTCTCGCCCTGTCTCCTGCCAGGGGAGGGTCAGGTACCCAGACTTACCCGCCTGACTGCAGACGGTGAGAGCAGATGCCGCTCCTGGGTCGCACACTCAGCCTGTGAGTTTGAGTGAAACCCTGAGAGCAAGGGCTGATGAAATCTCTCAACTCTGAGCTGGAAACGCCTAAAAGCCCACCTTCCCCTGGCTGGGCAGGGCGTCGTCCGTCCGAGGTGGGGCCGGGGCGGGCAGGAGCCTCCAGGGAAGGAGGCTGCTGTGTTTGCCCTCAAGGTGTAATGAACGCCCCAGGGCTTAAGAACAATAGTAAATTACAGTTAAATTAGGTCATCGAAGTCTCTGGCTCTGTTGCAAGACCACAGCTCCCTTTTAACATTTTTTACAGCCAAAAAAAGAGCAGGTCAGGGTTTAGCCAGGGGTGACGGGTTCCGGAAACTGAAGTATGGTAGCAGTCATCTCAGGTAGAAACTGTAGTTTATAACTCTAGCCCTGCTGTTTGTCTTAACAATAGAAAAGTTGTTTTGATTTTCTGAATTATATAAATCATCCCATTCGATTGAATGGCTTATTGATTGTAACGTGACTATCCCATTGATTGTGATCTTACTGGTTTTAGAAAGCAAATTCCTCTGTACCTGGGAACCAGGACAGCACACTTATCCCAAGACCCGAGGGTTCCAGATAATGTTTCCCTGTCAACTCAGTGGTCCCAAGACCCGAGGGCTCTAGATAATGTGTTTCTGTCAACGCAGTGGTCCAAAGACCCAAAACTACAATTAATCTTTGTAGATAACTGATCGGCTCAATCTCGCTTCTGTAACTGCTTTGTGCAAACCAGGGTCCTCATTCCAAACCCTGGGATGTAATCAATACCTTTGTGATTTTGCCTATAGAAATCTGGTGTTGTGGCCATCTTATCACTTCGAGATTTGGGAGAGCGAAATGCCCCCTCGGAGTCCCGGATTGCAATAAATGTGACTCTTTAATTCGACTTCTTTTTAAAAAAAAATTAATAAATCTTTTTTTTTTAAATATATTTTATTGATTTTCCACAGAGAGGAAGGGAGAGAGACAGAGAGTTAGAAACATCGATGAGAGAGAAACATCGATCAGCTGCCTCCTGCACATCCCCTACTGGGGACGTGCCTGCAACCCAGGTACATGCCCTTGACCGGAATCGAACCCGGGACCCCTCAGTCCGCAGGCCGACGCTCTATCCACTGAGCCAAACCGGTTTTGGCAAAATTAATAAATCTTTATTGTTCAGATTATTACAGATGTTCCTCTTTTTCCCCCCATATCTCCCCTCCACCTGGTTCCCATCCCACCCCATGCCCTTACCCCCTGCCACTGTCCTCATCCATAGGTGTAAGATTTTTGTCCAGTCTCTTCCCACACCCCCCATACCCCCTTCCCCCCAAGAATTGTCAGTCCACTCCCTTTCTATACCCCTGCTTCTATTACATTCACCAGTTTATTCTGACTTAATTTTTAGGTTCACTTGTTGATAGGTATTTATTTATTGTCACTTTGTTGCTCATAATTTTTATCTTTACCTTTTTCTTCTTCTTCCTCTTCTTAAAGAATATCCTTCAGCATTTCATATATTCCTGGTTTGGTGGTGATGAACTCCTTAAGCTTTTTCTTGTCTGTGAAGCTCTTTATCTGACCTTCAATTCTACATGATAGCTTTGCTGGGTAGAGTAATCTTGGTTGTAGGTTCTTGCTATTCATCACTTTGAATATTTCTTGCCACTCCCTTCTGGCCTGCATGGTTTCTGTTGAGAAATCAGCTGACAGTCGTATGGATACTCCCTTGTAGGTAACTAACTGTTTTTCTCTTGCTGCTTTTAAGATTCTCTCTTTGTCCTTAGCCCCTGGCATTTTATTTTATTTTTTAAATATATATTTTATTGATTTTTTTACAGAGAGAAAGAGAGAGGGATAGAGAGTTGGAAACATCGATGAGAGAGAAACATCGATCAACTGCTTCCTGCACACCTCCTACTAGGGATGTGCCTGCAACCAAGGTACATGCCCTTGACTGGAATCGAACCTGGGACCTTTCGGTCCACAGGTCGATGCTCTATCCACTGAGCCAAACCGGTTAGGGCAGCCCTTGGCATTTTAATTATGATGTGTCTTGGTGTGGTCCTCTTTGGATTCCTCTTGTTTGGGGTTCTCTTCACTTCCTGGACTTGTAAGTCTATTTCTTTCATCAGGTAGGGGAAGTTTTCTGTCATGATTTCTTCTAATATGCTTTCAGTATCTTGCTCTCTCTCTTCTTCTGGCACCCCGATAATTCGGATGTTGGTACGCTTGAAGTTGTCCCAGAGGCTCCTTACACTATCTTCATATTTTTGGATTCTTTTTTCGTTTTGCTTTTCCGGATGGGTGTTTTTTGCTTCTTCATATTTCAAATCTTTGACTTGATTCTTGGGATCCTCTAGTCTGCTGTTGGATCTCTGTATTTTATTTTTAATTTCAGTCAGTGTATGTTTAATTTCTGACCGGTCCTTTTCCATTTTTTGGCATTCTCATTAAGATCCTTGAAGTCTCACTGAGTTCCTCGGAGGTTCGTAGAAGATTCTTGAGTAACCTTATAACTGTGGTTTTGAACTCTATGTCCTCCATTAGTTTGCTTTCCTCCATTTCTTTCATTTGTGACATGTTTCTTTGTCTCCACATTTTTGGCTGACTGCGAGGACCCGTTGTGTCTATAGTGGAAGAACTGCTGTGCTGGAGACACCCTTATGGAGCAGGACTTGCTTCAGTGGGGCTTTGGTGCTCACTGTGTCTGCTTCTTGAGTGTGTCCCTTATGGATGTGAGGAGTTGAAATCTGGTATCTGACCAGGGTACCCTGGCTCCTGGATCTCCTAGTCAACCACTGTGTGGGCCCACCCAGCAGGAGCTACAGTGATATCAACAGATTTCTCCTCTTTGTTTGGGATTTGGAAGTTTTGGAGCTCTCTGACCCAGCTGCAGTTTGTTGGGTTAGGCTGCAAAAGCGCAGGTGATTCCATTGCACCACTGGCACAGCTTGGGTGGGGATGTAAATTGAGCAGGGCGGGGTCTCAGAGAATCACCAGGGCGGAGCAAACAGCAATGGTTGTCATCAGCATCTCCGTGACTCCTCGCCTCTCCGCTGACTCCGACTCCGAGTGTCTGTGTCCCCGAGTGCCGCGCCCCCACAGCAACAATGATCCCTGCGAGCAGCTCTGTGAGAAAGCCACCCTCGCTTTCCGACCCGC